TACGTACAAAATAACTGCGATAAAACCCCTTTCATGATCATAAAATTGTGTATCACCATCAAATATTTGTTTGTGTGTTGTTGAAAGGCCGCACTTAGCAATATTTCAGCTATATAACGGCGGTCTGTAAATAATCTAGTCTAGACCACTCAGTCCAGTGAGTGACATCATCAGCATCGATGAAGTTAGCGAGCCTGACCACCCGAACCTGTAAGATGCCTTTTACGGCAAGTATAATCCCCTTTTACGGCAAGCATGTGTGTTTGAAGACCTGTCTCTACCCGGATCTATACGGGTCCAAATAGTGATTGCAACATGTGTTCGAGAACTGATGACAATTATGAAAGATAGAAAGTTGGGTTTACCGAGTGAGAAGTACACTAAGTTATCACTTGGATGTTACTAAATTATTATATTATGTAAGTCATATGCAAGTTATGGTTTCATCAATTTACACAGAGAAAACTACATTCTTATATTTCGATCGTAAAGTGAGAAAGAAGATCGATATTCAAATGCACAGAACCCATCCAAGAATACCTTGGACCAACCAACTAAAGTCCACACTTCTTGAGTGTGCGAAAGCAACAGAATGGCCAGAAATGTCAATGTCAAAACATCAATTTCAATTTGGAAAAAAACTGAAAGTATAAGACAACAAAAGATAAAATCATAAATCAAATTCTTGATTCTCAGGAGGCAAAGTTAAAGATTTGGGAAAAATAATTTAAACACACAAACTAAGCTGTTCAAAACTGATGAAAAACAGTTTTTTTGGCAATTAAATGCAACCAGTGGCATTGATGAGAAAAGTCCCACCATGGCTTCCAGTAAAAGCTTTCGAAACAGTTGTGGTCTATACCCGGCAAAGTCAACCCCGATGAACCATGAGTAGGATTACATTTATTATGTACACAACAAAATAAAGTCACTATTGTTGTGTTTCATAACACCCGATTGCCTGAAAAAAAGTAATTAAAACGTCCAAATCTAATACGGCGCCAGGCCATGACGGTATGGAAAACTGTTCGAATGTGTACAAACATCATTACATCACTGTTTAAATACGTGGACACGGGATGTTCCGCCTTGTTTGTATTGCTTACAATACTTCTCTCAAAGAAATGTGAATTGACTGATCAAAAAAGAGGACGTCATGGAAAATGATCAACATAAAATTCTTTGGAACAGGCCCGTATACAGACTCAGACCTGCCCAGGCCACTTGATCTTGAAATATACTTCGAGAATATTAATTTTACCAAGTACCAAGATGTTTGACTCCCCATTGTTCTCGGTGCCTTAGGTTTGGTACCTCCCAATCTGTTGACTGACATTGGGAGAGTACGCGGGTTTGCTACCAGGAATACAGCCCTACTGACAATGTGGGTAATGCAGAAGACTGCGGTGTCTGAGAGTCTTCACATTCTCTGAACAATCTCTGGATTTGACTAGGCAGCGCTTCCTGGGAGAAGACCCATTCGCTGTCTGGGCTGCGTGTAGAGGAAGCGAAGGCCCTGAGCTGATGATGAGCCTGACCATGATGACCGTGACAGAATCACCCAAACCCTCTTTTGCTGCGTTTTTTTAAAATTATTTTATTCTGTAGATAAAAGCAACAAAACCTTAAAGCTACAAAACAGATCTGCTAAGGGCAGAAACGATTGTATGACGTGTGCATCCGTTTAAGAATCTATCAAATAGTGATGACATCAGGTGTTCGCGAAAAGGTGGGCATATCCTGCCAATATCGGAGGCAGAAATCTTTGGTAAAGCATGTATACCACATTAATCTATGAAACTAATAACACTATCCACACATGAATAATGTCACTAGACAAACCTCAGCCAGGGATCCTTCCATCTTGAGTATTTGTATGACCATGTTGACTGGGATAGGAACAACCGACACAAGAGCAATGAACCAGCCGAAGACGACGGCAGACTGGGGATACTCGTAGCCTCCGTAACTTGGAGGAGTGTAGGAAGCCAGAGTCAATACCAAAGCAACCTGCAGAGATACGGTTTAGTTGCGATCTACATCCAGATATACATATATGAAATATACTAATTAGATCATAAGATCAAGACAGTTAGTGGTATTCGGATGCACATTATGGGAACCCTTGGGCTCTGGAAACATTTAAAGAAATTATGATGAATTTACTCGTTTCGTTTTTGTATGATAAATGATGTGATTGAGTCCATGAGGAGATATTAACAATATGATGATATAGATAGCTGGCATCGTGGTATCCCCCACCCCCAAACAAAAAACAAAAAAACACATTTTTAAAACAAAAATCAATAACGAAATGACTCATAATCATTGCATATGTAACAAAAACAAGTGCCTTTGCCTTGTCGTCGTTCCTCATTTTGACAACCACGCTCTTGCTACTCGTCCTCAGTACATGGATGACAATGCCAAGCCTCATCGTTCGCATGCAGTCGTGGATTACATGAGGGCCAATGCAATAACGTCTCTACCCTGGACAGAAATGAGCCCAGATTTGAACCCCCTTGAACATGTCTTGGATTTTCTGGGGCGGCGCATACAGGCACGATATCTTCCTGTACAAGATTTACGCCAATTGAAAGCAGCATTGCATCAGGAGTGGTTGTTGTTGACCCATCAACATATCCAACGTCTGACTGGAGACATGAGATGTTGGGTGGAATGCGTCATCCGGGCACGTAGCGGTTATACCCGCTGCTGATCAGTTTCACGTGTCATGTCAAGTAGAGACTTTAAGGAACATTTTCAGCATCAAACGTAACTCGTTTACTCTATCCTGTAGCTCCATACTTTTTTAGGCATTGTCTAAGGCCAAAATACAGTACCTGTGTTACCATGATGTTTTTGTGAGTAAATTTCAATCACAACTCACCAATATCATCTATATTTGTTGTCAAATGTTTGTTCTATCCGATGACATTGGTATCGCCCAGCTCCTGTGGTCAGTCTTCCCATGCCATGATTTTTGCCATTTGTCATGGTTCAGAAATAGGGGTGTGCTTAACCTTTTTCTTTGTGTATATTACCGAGGTTAGACAGCGGAATGGGTCAGAGTACAACGGTAACACTCTGTACTAGCTTCACACTTCGCTGCAGTACCATATTGGAAGAAATGGTAATTCATTAAACATTTTTATTGGGCATTGCTATGAAGGCCTGGCCATTGGTAACATATTAGATGCCAAAATGAAAGCATTGGTAAGACATGGGATAGGAATCACACAGCGACAGGTAGAAGGGATAACAGAAGGGCAAGAGGACATTTTGTGGCAAAATCTCTTTAAGGGATTCTCCACAACAGCTCAGTGATACTCTGCTTTATTTGACTGGCCCGAACCTTGCTCTCAGGGCAGGTGACGAGCGATTTCTGCAGGCAGGGGACACCTCTAAAATTAAGGTGGTGCGAAGCTTAAACCAAGGATCCAAGGACTTAGTTTACACTGAGGGCATGTCCAAGACCAACAGGGATGGCTTTACAGCTCGGACCAGCGGCCGTAAAATAGTGAAGGTGTCCCAGAATAACGAACAGCAAGAGAGATGTTTGGTTCGTTTATACGAAAAGTACATAAATCTAAGGTAAAATATGACGAGTCTGTCACTTGCATTAAAATTCATCAACATATTTATGATTTGTTCATAAGTTCATTTGAAATAATCATGATGCATTAATAATGAATAGTGATTAAAAATATTAAGACATGACATGACTGAGGTACTGACGTTGGCCCATGCATGCAACTTTAAAATCTGCATTGCCCTTATGTCCAGTGGAATCTGTCTCGACGCTGACATTTCATTTCTTACACTTACAGCTGTACATTACACTTACATCAGCGACCGCCTCCGTGGTCTAGTGATTTGATCCCCGGCCGCGTCATACCAAAAGACGTTAAAAGATGGTACTTGTTGGTACCCTGTCTGGCGCTCGGCATGAAGGGGCTAAAACAAGGACTGGTCGGCTCGGAGTCAGTATACTGTGTCTGAGTGGGGTATTCATGTTAAACTGCGCATGGTATCTCAGTGAGCTAGCACGGAATCAGTCCGGACTAGTGCAAGCAGCCACACACACACACACACACACACACACACACACATACACGTGCATGCACGTCGCTATATAAGTGCAATAATCTTGGACGCGACGTTAAACCCCATTTCACCTCACCTCAACCCATCAGCCACCTTTGCAAGGCTGCAAGATTCACTAGTTTCTGTACCAGCCATTCCCTAAGGGCGACCGCTGCTTGATGAACAGTTTATCTGCGAACGAACTGGACACAGATCGTCAGCTATCAGTTACTAATGGTTACGTTTTGTAAATATTGACAGTTTTGGTATTAAATCTGTCAATTTGTACGTCTCTCTTTGGCTGACTGTTTTCCTATTTGACACTTACTGCTTAAGTGACAGTGACTAAATCGAACGGACCCTGTAATCTACAAACAATTTTAACAACGATACGTTGAAGATATAATACATAATCTTGCGTAAATGAAATCATAAAATATCTGTTGTATGTAGGGTCATTCTCTATCAGCCGACACACCAGCATCTTATATGGCGCGGGGGCACGGGTGATGAGTTGCGTCCCCTGGACACGCCAGAAACCTATGCTTGTGGGTTCGAATCCCGGTTCACCCCGATTATGTTTCTAGATTGTCAGCACTATACCCGTGCTCGTAGGTTTCACCGAAGTGGTAAACGTCGGAGACCTGCATCACTTCGGGCTTTCCTCTCACATTAAGCTGACACGGCGTGATATAACTGAAATACTGTTAAAAGCGGCGTTAAACCCAACTCACTCACTCTTATATGACGCCATAATGTCATCTGTTACTACAGCGAGACTAACATTTTCATTGTGTATTAAACGTTTACTATCGTTATGGGGGGGGGGGGGGGGGGGCGCTGTTTAGGATTCTCAACAACATACTACATTTCGAAAGCGAGGTCCGCATAGTTGCTGTGTTTTTTCCTGAAACTTGTAAATCACGTAAGTGTCAAAAGGGACAGAAAATTCAATAATATAAATTATTTTATTGGATTTATCAAAAAGGACAAGATCAGGATTGTTGGTCTGGATACGCCTGAGACTGCATACGGGCCTATTCCAAAGTATTTTGTATTTATCATTTTCCATGACGCCCTCTACATATTCTGGGTTGTACCATGGATGGACCTCTGTGTCAAAACCACAAGCATGGCGAAGACGGTAATAAAATGATCGAGCAACACCGTCATGTCGCTTAAGATACTGTGTTTGTGCCAAAGCTGGGCATCAACTGACAATGATGAACACCAGTCAGTGAAAGATGACGTCCATCAGAGACAGTCACACATGACACTAATAACAATCTCTAGACCTGGAATGAATTCCGTTACCTACATGACACAACGGCCAATAACGGAGTAGTGACGTTGGATGATTTCACTGTAAACCGTGTTCCGAACGTTCCTCCCTCACATAGTGCGTACAACATGACGGCCGATTTTTAGGAATTTCTTTTATGGTTTTAAGTAATTAGGTACACGATTTAATTATCAAGCAACATTTACATGAGCGCCACCATAAGTGCCGCCAGATTGTCTTGTTAAATGTTATAGTCCCGTAAACTGATTAAACTAGTAAGTCCAGTTCCAACGTTGATTCCTCCCAATGCTAGCCGAGATGACCTACTGGATTGAGATGAGCCGATTGGCTTACCACAAACAAGGGGAGATAATGCTAACCACAAACAAGGGGAGATAATTCAAAGTCTTGACGTAGGTTTACACATGTCCTTAACCAGTTCTGCTGCATGGACGGCGGTTCCCCAACTCATGCTGATACCGTACGACCCATGACCGTAGTTGTGCACAACCTGGAACATAAGACAGCTCTTTGGGAGACAAACGTTAGCTTTAGTCATCATATAACAACACTAAGGACACTCATAGTGGCCACATGGTAAACGCGTTCGTTCGTGACGCCGAATGTGTGGAGTCCATTTCTGGTTTCCCCCGCCGTGATATTGCAGGAATATTGCTAGAAGTGGCGGAAAACTTAACTCACTAACTCTTAGTCCATGACATCTATACTTGATGCTCGAGGCAGAATTCTTGTCTCGAGGTACGGATAACTTGATGTTATCCAAAGATTCGAGGACTTCGAGTGAGGTTGTTTATTCTTTCAAATTTTGTCATATTCATTTGAAATGAAAGTTTCGAGGGTCCACGAATGAGTAGGTACGTAAAATATAGTGTTGGCATTACATGAAGACAGGTTGCCAGATACGGGGACGATTATTCGGCTTGTAAGAGAGATGTTTATATTTTGTGCCGATCAGAATTTTGTCTCAAGTCACCTGGGGCAATGTGAGGAAGTTTTGGGAAAACACAAACCCAGTGATTCACAAACAAACCGAATATGTTTGTTAAATATTGATTATGTATAAAAAGTACAATCGACAAAACCATTTCCAGAATCAGAAATCTCTGCTAAAATCAGAGGCCATCACGCAAAGGTGAGCGTATCCTGCCCCACCGGCGGAACCCGTGACAAACACATGCAAAGGCATGTCAATTTTTCACCTGGGAAATCACGGGAATATATCGTACAAGTCAAATAGACAGCAGACATCACATTACGTTCTTTCAAGCCTTATATATAGGATATGCATTATGGACGCGGATTGTATGCAACATGACGCTTGGATTAGCCTCCTACCTTGAGGCTCTTGTCCCCAAACCGGATGACCTCAGCCTCCACCCTTGGGGGCACCCGGTAGGGCCTCAGCCCCGTCCACTCCCACAATATTTTAGCTTTCTGGAAACAAAGAGATATTTCATTTGAAACAGGTGGCACAGATGACCCAGTCGTCTAAGGCGCCGCAATTAGCTGTGCCGAGCTGCGGTCCTTGGGCACGCCAGAAACCGATGATTGTGGGTTCGAGTCCCGGTTCGCCCCGATTATGTTTCCAGGTTTGTCAGCACCATACCCGTGCTCGTACGTTTCACCAAAGTGGTAAACGTCTAAGACCTGCATCACTTCGGGCTTTCCTCCCACATCAAGCTGACACGCCGTGATATAACTGGAATACTGTTAAAAGCGGCATTAAACCATAGTCAATCACTTACTCATTTGAAACATTTAATACTCCAGCCATCTGCGTGGCTTGGAACGACCGGTGTAGCCTAAACGTTCAGTGAAGTATGACAACATGCTGTTGGTCACATTTTAGACGGTATATCAGTTAGTCATTGACTGTGGTTACACATCTGTAAGGAAAGACTACAGTTATATTCGTTTGTTTGTTTGTTTGTTGTTAAACGCCGCACTTGGTAATATTCCAGCCATATGACGGTGGTCTCTAAATAATTGAATCTGGACCAGACAATCCAGTAATTGACATCATGAGCACCGATCCACGTAATTATGATACGATGACATGCATCAACCAAGTCAGCGAGTCTGACCACCCGATCCCGTTTATCGCCTCTTACGACAAATATAGTCGCCGTGTACGGCAAGCATGGGTTTAAACCCAATTTCACCTCACCTTAATACATTTAAAACTTGAAATATGGTCGAAAAATTTAAAATATTCTGCTCATGAGTTGGGGAAGCAATTATTAAGAAGCTCATCTACCCCCCTTCTGAGTAGTCTCTCATATGTCTTCAGTTATTTTAGCATAAAAACACCAAATTTATTTACTTTTATAAAAGTTCCTAGCCAAGGATAAACTAACTTCTTTCCTTTTAGTAAACATATTTCTGAAAAACGCTGCTGAGTCAGTTAATGTTTAGATGTGTTGTAAGTAACTAACAAAACTGAAGGTATTTAAGTGTGTTATATATTCACAATATGCACATATTGATCTATGCGAATGGCTAACCCTCAGGGTGTACAGTATGTTGTCTCCCGACGAGGAGGAAGTCATTCTAAATGGCTTTACATACAGATTAGTGAGTGAGTAAGGATTTACGCCGCTTTAAGCAATATTCCAGTAATATCACGGCGGGGGACACCGGAAATGGGCTTCACACATTGTACCCATGTCGGGAATCAAACCCGGGTCTTCGGCGTGTCGAGCGAACGCTTTGACCACTAGGCTACTCGACCGCCCCAGATACAGATTAAATAACATTCGGGCGACACGTGGCCACTTGAGATGTGAAGATTCACAAATGCACAGATGACGATGTGGATCTTGTGTTGCGCCACAGTGGTCGGCATCATGCACATGCTTCAGCTGGTGCCAGACCTCCTCCTCCCAAGACACAGAACAAGCTTAAGGACATTGATCAAAGGCTACAGAGGAATTGTTCCATAGACATTACTCAGAAGTTGACGGATGACAAAGTAGATACGATATATGGATAACAACTTCTTTGCTTGACAACGGTGTAAAGATCTAACCTGAAACGTCGCCTTTACGGTAGTTACAGAAGTTGTTATCCATAAATTGTGTCTACTTTGTAAAGGCTACAGGGGACGGTCGGGTAGCCTAGTGGTTAAAGCGTTCGCTCGTCACGCCGAAGACCCGGGTTCGATTCCCGACATGGGTACAATGTGTAAAGCCCATTTGTGGTGTCCCCCGCCGTGATATTGCTGGAATATTGCTAAAAGCGGCGTAAAATCATACTCACTCACTAAAGGCTACAGAGGCTGAAAGGCCACCCAGACAGTGGCGTCAAAGCATCCTTTTGAATACCTAGATGCTGAAGGACATTTAGTTAAACTTGATTGCCCTGTTCAACTGATATTATATTGTTAATCTGCTGCTGCAGTACATAACTCTTACAAGTGTTATTTTTCAGAATTAAATTGATATCAGATAGTGCTTGTTTATCTGCTGCTTCAGTACTGAAAACTTTAATGTATTAAGAAATATTGCTTGTTGATAATACTGTGATATGTTATATTTGGTCTTATAGCTAAAATGGATAGAATTATCATTAAACCGCCCGCAAGTAATCAGAAATCGGCGGGCCACTGTAACTTGATAATGCCCTCATATTGCCCTCATAACGCCCGTTGTTAGGTGACGTCATAGGGTATGGATAGTGACGTCACGTTTAATATTGACGTCACCTGGTTTGTTCTGTGACGTTTCCATATTTGCAAAAGTCGGTCAGTGACATTCGTGTTGATTGCAGTAAATGTTTCAAAACCGATATTGTTGTTTCTTTTTATTTGATAACAAATTCCATCCATTATAGCTATAATAACGGTAATATCATGTAAATACCTTCAGGGGAGGCCAGAGCTTGGTGATGCTCTTCCAGATGTGTTCGGACGTGTCCAGGCGTACGCTTGTGTAGGAATCACCGACAGACTTGATGCCGCCAATGGCAGTGTTTTCAACACTGAAACATTCGATGGTTTTATATGATCATGTTAAGGGCAGGTTTACCGTGAAATTAAATAACGCTAAAATAAGTGTTTGCCGAACGTCAAAGACTGTATTATTTCTGTATTTGATTGTGAGTGTGTGAGTGAATATGGTTTTACGCCGCTTTAGCAATATCACGGCGGGGGACACCAGAAATGGGCATCACACATTGTACCCATGTCGGGAATCGACCCCGGGTCTTCGGCGTGACGAGCGAACGCTTAAACCACTAGGCTACCCGACCGCCCCTGTATTTGATTGTGAAATCATTGGGGCCAGCATTCGCTGTGACGACCACATAAGGATCAAGTCCAGTTAAAGTAGTACCGAACACTGATCACTGATGGTCTGATATTACAGAAACTCGTCTACCTTCTTCACCGATATCTGCCATTGGACTCAACGTCACAATGGGTTGTTTGGGACAATTACATAGACAGGACCGGTAGTACTGTCTAGGGTTTTCCAACACCATTCAGTCCCCGATGATATGGATTTGACACCCTTCAGATTCCCATGCCAGAAACCTGACACTTCACAAACCCCATATCAGAACCCTAACACTACACAGACCCCCATACCAGATCCCAGACACTACACAGATCCCCATATCAGATCTCTGACACTACACAGACCCCATATCAGATCCTAGACACTACACAAATCCAGATATCAGATCCCTGACACTACAGTAATACAGATAGCAGATCCCTGACACTACAGTAATACAGATAGCAGATCCCTGACACTACAGTAATACAGATAGCAGATCCCTGACACTACAGTAATACAGATAGCAGATCCCTGACACTACAGTAATACAGATAGCAGATCCCTGACACTACAATAGTACAGATAGCAGATCCCTGACACTACAGTAATACAGATAGCAGATCCCTGACACTACAGTAATACAGATAGCAGATCCTTGACACTACAGTAATACAGATAGCAGATCCCTGACACTACAGTAATACAAATAGCAGATCCCTGACACTACAGTAATACAGATACCAAATCCCTGACACTACAGTAATACAGATAGCAGATCCCTGACACTACATTAATACAGATAGCAGATCCCTGACACTACAGTAATACAGATAGCAGATACCTGACACTACAGTAATACAGATAGCAGATCCCTGACACTACAGTAATACAGATAGCAGATACCTGACACTACAGTAATACAGATACCAGATCCCTGACACTACAGTAATACAGATAGCAGATCCCTGACACTACAGTAATACAGCTAGCAGATCCCTGACACTACAGTAATACAGATAGCAGATACCTGACACTACAGTAATACAGATAGCAGATCCCTGACACTACAGTAATACAGATAGCAGATCCCTGACACTACACTAATCCAGATACCAGGACATGGCACTCCAGTAATACAGATAGCAGATCCCTGACACTACAGTAATACAGATAGCAGATCCCTGACACTACAGTAATACAGATAGCAGATCCCTGACACTACAGTAGTACAGATAGCAGATCCCTGACACTACAGTAATACAGATAGCAGATCCCTGACACTACAGTAGTACAGATAGCAGATCCCTGACACTACAGTAATACAGCTAGCAGATCCCTGACACTACAGTAATACAGATAGCAGATCCCTGACACTACACTAATCCAGATACCAGGACATGGCACTCCAGTAATACAGATAGCAGATCCCTGACACTACAGTAATACAGATAGCAGATCCCTGACACTACAGTAATACAGATAGCAGATCCCTGACACTACAGTATTACAGATAGCAGATCCCTGACACTACAGTAATACAGATAGCAGATCCCTGACACTACAGTAGTACAGATAGCAGATACCTGACACTACAGTAATACAGATAGCAGATCCCTGACACTACAGTAATACAGATAGCAGATCCCTGACACTACAGTAATACAGATAGCAGATCCCTGACACTACAGTAATACAGATAGCAGATCCCTGACACTACACTTATCCAGATACCAGAACATGGCACTACAGTAATACAGACAGCAGATCCCTGACACTACACAAATACAGATAGCAGATCCCTGACACTACAGTAATACAGATACCAGATCCCTGACACTACAGTTATACAGATAGCAGATCCCTGACACTTCACAAATCCAGATACCAGATCTCTGACAATACACAAATACATATACCAGATCTCTGACACTACACAAATACATATACCAGATCTCTGACATTACACAAATCCCAATATTAATTCACGACACTACACTAATCCAGATACCAGAACATGGCACTACAGTAGTACAGATATCAGATCTCTGACACTACAGAAATCCAGATACCAGATCCCTGACACTACAGTAATACAGATAGCAGATCCCTGACACTACAGTAATACAGATAGCAGATCCCTGACACTACAGTAATACAGATAGCAGATCCCTGACACTACAGTAATACAGATAGCAGATCCCTGAAACTACATTAATACAGATAGCAGATCCCTGACACTACAGTAATACAGATACCAGATCCCTGACACTACACAAATACAGATACCAGATCCCTATCACTACACTAATACAGATACCAGATCCCTATCACTACAATAATACACTACACACGATATTAATTCCCAACCCTACACAAATCCAGATACCCGACCCCCGGGACTTCACAAATCCAGATACCGGATCCCTATGCAGATCCATGTATCAAATCCATAATACCACACAAGATTCATTTAAGATTCCTGACACACGCAGATTCCATGTATCAAATCCATAATACCTAACAAGATTCATATAAGATTCCTGACACACGCAGATTCCATGTATCAAATCCATAATACCACACAAGATTCATATAAGATTCCTGACACACGCAGATTCATGTATCAAATCCATAATACCACACAAGATTCATATAAGATTCCTGACACACGCAGATTCCATGTATCAAATCCATAATACCACACAAGATTCATATAAGATTCCTGACACACGCAGTTTCCATGTATCAAATCCATAATACCACACAAGATTCATATAAGATTCCTGACACACGCAGATTCATGTATCAAATCCATAATACCACACAAGATTCATATAAGATTCCTGACACACGCAGATTCCGATACCAGCTGCAGATCCCTGACACTCCACAAATACAAACATAATGTCTTATAGTACCGACCAGACGCTGCACTGATACATAAATCAGATTCCGTGCCACAAACTACTCCGATGTCTTACTTGGGAAGAAAATGAACTGAGTCCGAGCAGTGTAGGTAGTGTTTCACCCACGGAGCGGCCACCTGCCGGCGAGAATATAACAACAAAATAATCATTTCATATGACATAAATTATGTTTTTTCGTTACGACATTTCTCCAGAGGCCGCAACAAGAGGTTCTTAAAGTCCTGGTTGTATCAGCGAGTGACACTGGTTTTGTACACACACAACACTTTACAGTTTAAAAACAACTTTTCATTGTTGTTACATTTCTTTCTTTCTCCAACCAACATTTAGTTTTAAAAATCACTTCTAGAAAAAAAAATGTTTTAAAAAAAACGACCCATAGATTTTGGTATCTAACTGAAAAACATCGGATATTATCCAAGGGAATTCAAATACATTCAAAGTGCAAAAATATCACAATTGTCTTGGGTCTTCAAAATAGCCAATTAGTGAACTAATGGCTCTTTTGGTTTATTTTCTGTGGGGTTTCAATCGACAGGACGGCATTCAATTTCTTTTTACGTAGATTGATAAATATTCAGTTCACGTTTGTTCAAAGTGTGACAGGATAAAAAGATTCAGGTTCGATTTTATTTGATGTTGCATCACTAGATGTTAAAGCGGTTAATCGCACTTACTGACTCTTTACAGTGTGGGAATCAGTTCAGGCAAGAGTTGGAATTCGGTGTCGGCGCAAGAGAGACATATTTCAAAGTTACCAAATACCGTGAAAACCACGTTAAGTTTTGACAGAAAGAATGAGGGAGTGGTTTTACGCCGCTTTATGCTATATTCCCGCACTGTCACGGCGGGGGACACCAGAAATGGGCTTCACACATCGTACCCATGTGGGGAATCAAACCCAGGCCTTCGGCGTGACGAGCGAACACTTTAACCACCCATTCGTGACCAACTCGTGTTATTCCGGGACAAGCCGAATAGCGACTTGTGCCCCTAACCTGTCACAGAATGATACGAGAGGTCACGGATGAATAAGAGCAAAACATGGTAAGGTAGTCAGGTTTCAACGTGTTCAGCTGATTATTTCGGTAAAGGGGGCACATTCGTCTGAGGTGTCGCAATTCGCAATGCATATTTATGTCCCTTAGGCGTTCCAGAATCCTATTAGACTCATCCTCATTATTGGTCATTGATTATTATTAATATTTGTATTGTGGAATAATGTAGTTTCCATCACCCTGGGCGATTGGTGTTAAACGACTCCGCGCCACCCGCGCTCACCCCGACATGATGTCTCCGCCATCTCACTCACCCTCATCATCTGTCCTCTCATTGGCTGCAGCTTCTCGTCTCCAGTCAGGGCTTTAGCCCCTAAACCAGCACAGTTAACCACCACGTCGTACTCGCCTTCAAACTGCGAAAATATAGGACAACTGTTGTGGCATGACACTGAAGTAAATTAACAAGATTTTTCATCAGTAATCAGTGATGTTGAAGCTTAATATCAGTGTTTGGAATGATCTTTTCACCGAAACTGAAGCAACTTAAGAAGGGCGTATGAATACATAGTGCCACATTATTTGCAGCCATGTTTGTCTGCAGAACTCCCAAACATCGGGAAAGCCGTACGTATATATATTTGGGAACGTCAGCCAACGTTTTGATCAAACCGACGTTGCATCGATGAATTGAGTTGAAAAGCAGTTCCTGAACATTCGTGACCAACTCGTATTATTCCGGGACAAGCCGAATAGCGACTCGCTCCCCTCTCATGGCCATTTTTGCGACCGGGTTCCGTCTTAGCGCAAACGGGCATACCTAAAACAATTGTCAACTCGTTGCGTAATGGTTCACATATTTTATATATATTTCAGATGCACTTTAAAGCACATCAGGGCGTTCGGAATTATACAGTATGATTGAACACATTTAACTGTGTCTTGGGTATATATTTAGATGCAAGACATATGTAAAATCAAAAATTATTTCTGAGGGATTCTTTGACGAAGAACTTGAAATCATAGGCGCATTCTGATTGGTTGATCGTGTTTTCGCACATAACATTCATCGATAGGGGGACGAGTCTTCTTGCAGGTTACGGAAAGGGGCGGGTGGTGACGAATGGTTCCTGATGTGTAAACGTATTTGCTTATTATAATAAATATCAAACTGTGGTACCAAGTTTATCAAAAAGGGTTTTGCATCGATAACACTGTCCATTATACGATAAATTTCGTTCATAAACAACGAATATTTTGCTTTTTGCGCAAAAATAGGGAAACTGAATCATTATTTAAACCGTTTCAGGAAAGTGTATTAGAATATGCTGCATCGGGAACTGTGTTGTAGAATACACCTTTAGTGTATCGATACACCGTATCGGGAACTGGAATGAGAATACAACTGTTGTGTATCGGTGAACTGCATCGGTATCTGCCTATGGCAATATTATACTTGACTATTCTAGCTGATTGTATTATTGGTGTCACCTCTTGGAATGACGTCACTTTCCTCTGGAGCACAATCCCGCCTCGGGCTTGGAAGCTGGAATAAACAATGACACGAATTCACAGAGAGAGAGAGAGAGAGAGAGAGAGAGAGAGAGAGAGAGAGAGAGAGAGAGAGAGAGAGAGAGAGAGACTGTGTCAGTGTCTGTGTCTGTGTCTGTGTGTATGTCACACGCAACGTTACGACACCGTGCTGCGCCATGACGTCACGTTGTACTGTCTAGCAACAGTACCACACTCGGACAACACCACGTTTTATCTTCCTGCCGTGGCTTGAGAATAGGGAGATGTAACAGCTTGCAAGATTCATCTACCAAACATAATATCAAGTTTTGCATCACAATTGTTTTGTTTGAATTAACGAAATGAATAATTACTGGAAATCCATTTAACGCCTCATTTCATTGATTCTATTAGTTTTACGGTGGCTCCCTGTGACAGCATGCATACCGTACTGTCATAATGGGACGACGGTGGTTGTCTGACACACTGATCATATGACAGGAAAACGACAGCCGTCAGGCAGCAGTACAGGATCAACATAAGGTCAGTGGGTCTTGGTGATTTCGTGTATTAGGGAGGACGAAGTTTATGAACTGCAATTGGACGTACACCAGCATGTAATGCAAGTTAGAAATGGAGACAGTCAGTAGGTTTGCCACATGGTCAATAGGTTTCAGTAATAGATGTAAAGCCTTGCCTTGCCATGAGCCAGTGGAGGTATGTACTCATGTCCACGACAACGGTTGTGCCAGTGTAGCAATAGCTGCAAAAAATAAATAATCAGGCGGTTATGTATTTTATCCAATTGGATACTTTCGCTTCTCATCGTCGTCGATTCATCTCATCCTCCCCTACAATGCTACCCTCTAATTGAGATACAGGTGTTTGTTGCTAAGTGGAAGGTTACAATTCATAACATGACGTTGAAAAAGTCTAACATCAACCCAGCCCTTAAGTGATAGGTAAATATGATAGTAGAAAATCCAGATTTAGATCTCATGTTCTGGAATACTTACAACTTTCCTAGGTTCAGCTTCTCGGCACTCTCCTTGGACATTGGGTCGAAGGACAGCATGAGATGTTTAAAAGGTGGAGTCTGAACGAGAAGGGTTAGTACGTTGGGTTTAAGGCGGCTTTTAACAGTATCCCAGTTACATCATGGCGTGACGGCTTAATTTGGGAGCAAACCCGAGGTGATGCAAGTCTTGCATGTACCACTTTAGTGATACACACGGGTATGGTGCTGACAAACCTAGAAACAACCTCAGGATGATCCCGAGAATCTATGCTCATAAGTTCCTGGCACGTCCCTTAGGGACGCCAGAAACCTATGATTGTGGGTTCGAATCCCGGTGTGCCCCGATAATGTTTCTAGGTTTGTCAGCACCATACCCGTGCTCGTGGGTTTCACCGAAGTGGTTAACGTCTAAGACCGGCATCACTTTGGGCTTTCCTCCCACATTAAGCTGTCACACAGTGATATAACTGGAATACTGTTAAAAGCGGCGTTAAACACAACTCACTCACTTAATTGTTTGACAGGCATTTCTTAGTAATGCTCAGTGAAGCATTCAAAAGGTTTATGGTTGACATGTGGATAACATTTCCAAATGTTCGCGAACACCTGATGTCATCACTATTTGATAGTTATTTATGAACACATGCTCATGATACAGTCGGAATCATACAATCGAACAAACAATTTGCATACATAAGAGGGATTTACATAAGTAGGTTAACTAAGAACAACACAGGGATACTAATTGTAGCAACGTGATGGACAGTTGGTTGGTTTGTTGTTTAACGCCGCACTCAGCAATATTCCAGCTATATGACGGCGGTCTGTAAATAATCCAGTCTGGACCAGACAATCCAGTGATTGACATCATGAGCATCGATCCACGCAATTGGGAACAATGGCATGCATCAACCAAGTCAGCGAGCCTGACCACCCGATCCCGTTAGTCGCCTTTTACGACAAGCATAGTGGCCTTTTACGACAAGCATGGGTTGCTGAAGACCTATTCTCCCCCGGAATCTTCACGGGTCTGTGATGGACAGGGAACACATGATGAGTATTAATCTAACAGTTAAGTCTGCCTAGGTGAGATGATGAAGCCCTATTGATGATCTAACCTGTGGTCCAGTGGCATAATGTATCCCCATACCAATACTGGCACCACTGTCTGCACTGTCTTCTGAAACTGCCAGTTTGATGAAGTAATCCATTGAAGTTCGGCCCCATTTCCTACATAGAAAGACTATATTTAAATACCCGTTCAAATGTGATTCTAGAAACCTCGGCTTAATGTTACGGTTAGGATATTTCTTTCTTTCAAAAAGGACATAGCATATACATAATTACCATCTGTTTATTTTCATATTTTGTGTGACTGATAGGGTCGGCTAGTCTGTCCCAAACTCGGGATCGTTTCACTGAGAAACATGTCCAGTGAATTGTACTTACTTAATTAGTTAGAGGCCAGAAGGTAAGCAACTTACTCACTTACTCCCCTGCCTGGCAGGTTGCAGGACGATGCTAAAGATTAGTAAATACCACTTATTAAATTAGTATAATTCACTACTTAAACCACACTGAAAACAATGTGTAAGAATGGAAACACATACAAGGCCTGTTCTATCTAAACACGTTTAGGGTCTAAACACATGAAATGAGCTATCGCCTCACAGCCTGAACGCAGCATCCCCACAATCCATACATGTTTCAGATTTAAACACCTTTAAACATGTTTAGCGTGTGACATGTTTATAAAGAGCATATCAACAGGTTCTAGGTCAAATATGGATGAGATGTATAATATATCGTTGTGCATATCAGATTCACAGGCACATGCATAACACATGAACCACCACGACCTGCAACGAACAAAGTGCAATATGAACATCAAAATGTGCATATAAACCAAGGTTATGGTGATACTGGTTTAAACAATCTCCATGGCACACACAACTGATAAGTTAGATAGATAGCTATTTATTCGGTATTTAAGGCCACATGGCCCATTGTAGAGTTGACATTTTCAGTTTCATTTGTTTAGTAACGTGACATACATGATATATTAAAACTATCTGGCAGAGAATATATATGTTTTAACAATATGGCTAATGAACGTATAACAGCAAAGTTGTTGGATATAAGACTGATCACTGAAAATCTTGTTTGTATGCCTATTGTAAAACATCAAAATATATTTTTCTCTAAGATGTTCATACTTATCACATACTAATAAAACATGAAGCTCATACCCAATCTCTCCTAATTGGCAGTTTTTACAGATACCCATTTCAAGTTCCCTTTTTTCCCATCTACGTGAGTAGTTGTGGACAGGACACCAGTACCGCTCCTGGCTTCTGATTGGTCGAGAGGATCACGTGACCTCTGTGACGTCACATCCGGTCACGTGATCTGCGCATGCGCGCGGGGCATGATGGGACATGCGTGCGCATCCAAGATGGCGTCGCATCCGTGTCCGGTGGCGCGCGCATCCAAGATGGCGTCGCATCCGTGTCCGGTGGCGCGCGCCTTCAAGATGGCGTCGCATCCGTGTCCGGTGGCGTGCGCCTTCAAGATGGCGTCGCCTCCGTGTCCGGTGGCGTGCGCCTCCAAGAGGACGTCGCCTCCGTTTCCGGGGAGGAGGGATGGGGAAAAACCCGAAGAAGCGCACGTACAAGGTGAACAAGATCGACAGGGGATTGGAGGGTCGTCAAAGCAAAGGAGGAAAAGCTGTCTTTCGGGAGAGATGGGTGGCCCTGAAAAGGGCCGTTGGAAAACAAACTGGAAACTGGAAACGACAGGAAACGGCAGGAACACTGGAACACTGGAACACTGGAAAAACTGCAAACGATGGGAAACTGGTAAAAAACAGTGGGGGCAGCATGGCCCATGCGTTAGTCACTTTGTTCAGATGATCTATCTTCTCCATCCTCTACTTCCATCTCATCCTCGGACGGAAGGTGTCGTCGGCGCTTTGAAACGTGTTTTCTTGAGGGGCTTCTGTCCCGTTTTCTTTTCTCTACACGAGGTGTGATGCCTACACGGAGTTGTGCGAGGCATTCTTTTAGGTCGAGGACATCGGCATGCATGTCTTCGATGAGATGAAGGACGTGTGTCACGGGTGTCACGGGTGTCACGGGTGCCACGGGTGCCATGGGTGCCACGGATGCCACGGGTGTCGAGGTGGACGGTGTTGCTAACGTTTTCTTTCGACTGGGTTCTGGGCAATCTGCAGCGAAATGACCCAGGGCTCGACAGTTGTAAACAGCGGTCCAGGCGATGGGGAGTCTTCTTTCGACTGGGTTCTGGGCAATCTGCAGCGAAATGACCCAAGGCTTCACAGTTGTAACAGGGGCCCAGGTTCTGCTTCTCCTGCTTCTCTTGACTGTTCATCTTCGGACAGACATAGTGACGGTGACCTTGATCGTGACACTCGAGGCATGTCACTTCAGGGCAGTACAGGTAACTGTGACTGTCGGTCTGGCACTTCATACAACTGTATCGAGCTGGCATGATGGGTTTCATAGAATGCAGTGTGTGTGAGTGGCTTCGCTCTTGTTTTGTTTTTATAGGAGAGGCACTGACACCCTGCTTCCCGATTGGTTCCCCAGGCAGCGCCCACGATTGGTTCGTTCCGGGGTCTGGTCCGCACCTCGGTTTTCCAAAACGGACCGACCCCTGTGTTTCTTTTCCATAGGAAATGGATTTTAACATGGGAGAGAAAGCACAACCCCGGTTCGGCCAATCAGAGCCCCGCCTGGTCCGAGCGCGGTCTCTGATTGGTCGACAACCCAGGCTTCCGATTGGTCCGATTTCGATCCGGTTTTTATCGGGGTGTGCATTTCGATCCTGTTTTGTTTTTTTCTTCATCCTACAGACAACATAACACGACTATGAGTTTTTAAAACAAATTTAATCCCCCTGATCACATGAACCAACACAACAAAACAAAAGTCACAGGATGAGGGGGGGACATCCCTGTGATTTTTGTGAACACGAGGGGTGACCACGAGGGGTGACCACGAGGGTATGAACGTCTGACCACTTTGAAAAAAAAGAAAAAAAAAAAGAAACTTTGTCACTTTGGGTGTACAAGACACTCGACTCTTCTCTTCCGTGCTTCTTGGGACACCAAACGTCTGTATTTTTCGTTCACTTCTCCATCAGGACAAAACACGCACAAGTATTTGCAAGGGACTTTGGCGTGCTTCAGATGTTCTTTCCAGGGTTGGTCTGTGACTTCCCATTGGCGGAGTGTCACATCGCAGCAATAACAGATAACACGGTCACCTCGTCCTGGATAGAAATAGCCAGCCATGGCCATGTCATAAGGGGTCTGGGTCATCTGTTTAGGCCACGTTTGAAAAGACCTCAGACGTTCTTGAAATGAATCATAGTGGGGATGAGAAGGATGACACAAGGTGTAAGAAGGAAAAGGTCTCTCCGGAATGTCACCGAGTCGCCATGTGTCGTCCATCAAGAGCGTGTCGTCCATCAAGAGTGGACGTTTTCTCGCTTCTTGTTCTACCGCCTTATCAGACACCCACTCGGAATCGGTGACGACATCTCGGGAGGATGACATGGCATTCATAGAACGTCTTTGCTCCATGATGACTGTGACTTCACTGAAAGAAGGTCTGAGGGTTCGCCTGCTTTTATGAAACTCTCCACCCTACTCCCTTCAACGGAAGGTCATGACCTTAGCTTCCACCTCCTCCACCTCATGACGTGACGTCATCCTGTGTTTGGGTTGACGGACACACGGCGTGAGGCATGACATGATCCATGACATGACATGGCACACGGTGGGTGTGGGGATGATCGATGCGTACTGGAATGACTGACACCAGGCAGCTGATCTTTCAAGCATAGCCTTTCTCTTTTATCTATTTTTATTTTAATTTTGCACTTTGGTGTGCACGGACATGACAGACAGACAGACAGACAGACAGACGGACAGACGACGTAAACGACATCTCAACTCAACCTCTACCCTCGGTTCGGCACTCTATTGGAGTTGAGATCAATCAAGACACAAAGAGTCAGTTCAATCAATCACTGTTTAATAATGAAAAACCAATCACAACCAGATACAATGGAAATACGAAAAGTCAATGGAGGAGGGAGTGCTTTGCATGTCCCTACAACAACAACAACAACAACAACAACAACAATAACGCGACAACGTTTTCCTCTTCCATCTTCAAGCTCTTCTGTCTTCAATCCCATAAGAGGTGGTCCTCCCTCAACCATGTGAGAGGTCCATCCGTTCAACACGTACAGTCTATGGCCTCCCTGAAACAGACATGACACATCACTTGATCACGGTTGCAGCTTACGTGTTGTAAAGTTCTTCGAGCGAAGAGGAGGATCACCATAAGATGTGATCCTCAGATGCGATAGGCATGTCATCATGTGTCACTATGCTGTCATAGGTCAACATACTACAAGTACAGTCTATGAGCTCCAGACCACAGGCATGACACATCACTTGCCCGCTGTTGCAACTGATGTATCTTAACATGTTGTTGTGTCGGCAAACACGACATTCGCGTTGTAGGGTTGAGCTTCTCCATAAGGATCCAGGTCAACGTTGTCATCATCATCATCGTCGCAAACCATGGGCATACCTGAGGAGTAGACATGAACATCTTCCGGTGGTGCTGGTGACCAAGAAGCCTCAAGCAGGGGGAGCGTGTCCAGATCCATGGAAGGGAGAGTGGCCAGCTTGAGCGCTTCATGATCATCGAGGTCATCCGTCGCCATCGTCACAGGGGTATTCGGTGAATAGGTGGGCTCCCGAGGGGTTTGTTCCCACCACTGTTCTAGCACGGTCTGGGCTGAACTGACATCAGGGGTCCTGTCAATCAAAGGACAGAGTCCATTCATCATAGGCATAGGTATAGTCATCATCAACATCGCCATCATCATCATCATCATCATCATCATCATCATCATCAACATCAACATCACATCAAGAATGACTGAGACAAAGAAGAGCAGGGTACTTACAGTTGTTCTTGAGGAGAGATCTTCAGAGATAATTTCTTCCGTGATCGTCTTTTTGCAGACGCTGCGGGTGTTGCAGGTTTCAAAAAGGATGTCCCCATCGTTTCGGTGTCTGTTGTCGCTGTTGCAGTGGTTGCTGTGACTGCTGTGGTGGTGGTGGTGGGGACTGGCGCTGTGGTGGTGGTGGTGGTGGGTGTTGTTGCTGCTGCTGCGGTGGGGACAAC